CTCCCAGAGAAGTTACAGGAGCTGGTCCCCACACATCTGTATGTACTAGTTCCAGCTTCTCTTTCTTTGGCGTCCTTCCCGCCTTTGAGAAACTAACTCTCTTTTGTTTCCCGTAAATGCAATCTTCGCACAAACCTAATTCAACCTGCTTTAGGTTTGGAAACTTTTCTTTGGATGCCAACAACTTCATTCCCTTCTCACTCATATGCCCGAGCCTCCGGTGCCACAATGTTGTATCGCGACCATGATCATCTGTTGCTATAGTATCAATCTGTATTGTAGTTGCATAAAATGTTCCCTTCTTGAAGCCTCGTGCCACAACCAAATTTCCTTTGGTTATCTTCCATGATCCGTTACCGAATGTTGTTGTAATCCTTCACTGTCAATCTGACCCATAGATATCAGATTTTTCTTAAGGCCAGGAACATGTCGGACATTTTGCAATTTCCATAGCGTGCCTTGTGAAGTCTTTATATGAACTTCACTTTTTCTGACAATATCCAGAGGTTCGCCGTCTGCTAGATAAACCTTCTCACATTTTCTAGTAATATAATTATACAATAATTCTTTGCATAATGTAGAGTGAAAAGATGCACCTGAGTCCAAAATTCAAGATTCGAGTGGACTGTCTGTACAACAAATTAGTGCATCACTGACTTGTTCAACAATTGCATTTGTTGAATTATTATCCTTATATTGATCATTCTTCTTCTTCTTTGGCTCTCTACACTGACTATTGTAGTGACCCTTTTTATCGCAATTCCAACACGTAATGTATTTGCGATTTTTGGATTGCCTTCTTCTCCTTGACTGTGATATGCCACGACCATGACTTTATCCTCTTTGGCTTCTTCTCCCCTTGCTTTCGGTATTCAAAGCAGATCCTGGGGAATCACTTTATTCTCTCCGGTGAATATCTTCGCTTAGAACCAAGTCTCTAATATCATCCAATTTGAGCTTGGTACTTCCTGATGAACTGCTAACTGCAGTTACTGTTGCAGACCAACTCTCCGGTAGAGATGATAGTAGAATCAATGCCCTGACTTCGTCATTGAATGTTATATTGACAGAACTCAACTGAGTTAATATTACATTAAACTCATTGATATGTTCCGTAACAGATCCACCTTCTGTCATCTTTAAGTTGAACAATCGACGCATCAAATAGACTTTATTTGAAGGAGATGGCTTCTCGTACATATTTGATAACGCCTTCATTAGGCCTGCAGTGGTCTTCTCATTAATGATGTTAAATGCCACATTTCGTGTAGCGTCAAACGAATCACACCAAGAGCTTGGAGATCTAATAGATCCCAATCCGCTTTGGCCATATTCTCTGATTTTACCTCGGTCAGAGTTAAGTGTAATTTTTTCTGGTACAAATAATCCTCTATTTGCATTTTCCAGAATCCAAAATCTTTGCCATTAAACTTGTCAATCTTAACCTTCCCTTCTTCCGATGCCATTTTTTCACAAAAAAAATTATGTGAATAGTAACGATGATCAATAGTGTTGCACTATTCTTGTGAATAGTATCTATACCGGTATCGTACTTTGCTCTGATACCAGTTGTTGGAAAACGTGTCAGGCTAATAGAAGGAAAAAAATATTTGAAAGAGAAAAGCAATAAATTACACAAGACAAGACAAGAGAAGATTTACGTGATTCGGCAATTTTTGTCTACTCCACGGCCACACAAAGAATAGCTCTTTATTAATTGAAGAGAGAAAGAAGAAGTTAGGGATCATTTGCAAATGAAAATGCATACCCCTTTTCTAGGCATTTGAATGTCCTGCCGACGTAAACGCTTACATCATATGAATGCCGATATAAGCGCTTACATCATATGAATGCCGATGTAAGCGCATGCATCATAAGAATGCCGATGTAAGCGCATACATCATAAGAATGCCGATGTAAGTTTTTATATCATAAATCATCTCTTTTTTATTTTTCTTTCTTTTATTTTGTCTACTTTTCTTTCTTTCACATACAATAACAGGTTTGTTACTATCATAATAAACATTGGGAACCTGTATGCAGATGAGGTGAAAGAATTTCTTGTCTACTTGCCTGTTCCCTCGGCTGAAATTGATGGAAGCGCAACAAATACATCTCTGTTGAAAATTACATGTGGTTACAAGAATAGCACGTCTGAAGAAATGGTCGGTGTGGAGGGTTAGACAGTTGAGATACGTCGGCCACCAGTGCTGTCTCCTACGGATGTGCTAGTAAGTCGTGAGGTTGATAGGCAGATAAACAGGCTGGCAGTAGCAGAAACCATTGCAGAGGCACAACATATGGCAGAAAATGGAAATCTTGAGGCTGCTCAAGCCGTTCTAGGCAACAGAAGAACCTCTCTTCTATCTTCTGTATCTGCCCAAGCAGGTGATGCTCTTTGTAACTGGCTTGACACTGAACTGACTGAAATCAGAGAGAGGATGGCGAGCAGGGAACGCTATGAACAAACAGGACGCGCTTATGTCCTCTCGGGTTTGAGCTCACATTCTTGGCAAAGAGCCACAACTAGAGGAGACACAACGACACAAATAATATCGCAAGGTGGTAGCTCAAGCAACAGTGGTGCAATTGGCTATGAAACTCCATCTATGGTTAACATGGTCTCAAAGTCACAGAATCTAAGTCTTGCCAATCGTGTTGAACAGGTTCCTCGTCCCAACAAGACATGCAACTTAATTCCAAGATCTTAGTAAACATTTCTAACCCCATTCGTTCTCAGCGTGATAGGCAACTGAACAACAGCACTCTTCTCGTGATATAATTCTGTGGTATTTGACCCTACTCTTTTTGTAATTTTCAATTCTCAAAATACTTATCAAATGGAGTAATAGTTAGCACGAATATAATTTCCGAGTTTACCCTTGCAAAATAAATTCCAAATCCTCAGAGATAAGGATTTCAGAGAATCTCCAAAACTCACAAAATCTAACTCAATTATCCAATCAAACCCCTCCACGTAAGCGCCATTTTACTCCTTATCCTCTTCCTTCATCACTAACTTCCTCCCACAAATACTAAAAACCATCCCTTCACTCTCCACACTCCATCTCCAAACTCTCCTTCTTCTACCATTTCTCTTGAAAATAATACCTTAAAAAGGAAAAATATAGAAAGAACACCATGTCTCTCACTATTCCTACAAACCTTTCAAAATCCATAACACCTAGGTTTAGCTCTCAGTTTAGCACAAAACCAAGAACTTCAACCATAGTGTGCTCTTCAAACCAAACCCCTTCATCTAATTCAACAGAGGAAACTTCTTCTTCATTAAAGGCTTTCTCTGCTGCACTTGCTTTGTCTTCTATTCTGTTGTCAGCACCAGTACTTCCAGCTTCTGCTGACATCTCGGGGCTCACTCCATGCAAGGAATCAAAGCAGTTTGCAAAGCGTGAGAAGCAACAGATCAAGAAACTTGAGAGTTCTCTCAAACTTTATGCACCTGATAGTGCTCCTGCCCTTGCTATTAACGCCACTATTGAGAAAACCAAGCGCAGGTTTGTCTTGTTTCCTCATTCTTCAAGTTTTTCTATGTTGCGTAAATCTCACATCCACAAAATACGGAAGAGATACTGGTATATAAATAAATAAACAAGCCGAGTTTTAAGATGCAGATAATATCAAGAGTGGGTTGGGCTGTAAAATTCTAGGAATATCATAGAATTTTCCTAATTATCTACTTTTTCCATACATAATTATGAATGATAAATTGGTTTTGCAGATTTGACAACTATGGGAAACAAGGACTGTTGTGTGGATCAGATGGATTGCCACATTTGATAGTGAGTGGAGACCAAAGGCACTGGGGAGAGTTCATAACACCAGGGATTCTCTTCTTGTACATTGCTGGTTGGATTGGGTGGGTTGGAAGGAGTTACTTGATTGCTGTAAGAGATGACAAGAAACCAACTATGAAGGAAATCATCATTGATGTTCCTTTGGCTAACAAGCTCATCTGGAGAGGCTTCAGTTGGCCTGTTGCTGCTTACAGAGAGTACTTGAATGGAGAGCTCACTGACCCCAACTTCTAATTTCATTCATTTTCTCTTTGGAGTATTGTACTCTCGCTTGTTTATATTTTATGAAAGAATATGTGAATTCCCTATATCAATTATGTGTTGATCTTGTGGTTCTTGATTAATGTTAGTGAAAAATGTGTTCGGATGATTTTGTCACGACCCAAGAGGGCTTGGGGCCGTAGGAATTTATCTTTCGCGTTGCCACCTCCGCGTGAAAGTCTGACATGTTTTATAAAGCACTTTATTTTCCTCTCTCATTTCGACCTAAGATTCGCCTAAGGTGACATGTGTACTCTTGTCAGCCCTGTTTGACGAGGGCCCGCTCCCCGTCATGCGCATCACAGATTTCCTCCAAATCTTGATCAATTTTTGGCCAAATTGATATTTTATGATATTTAATAGAAGTTGAGTGAATTTTTATGTTACAGATACAAGTTTGATGATTTTCCAGCAATTTGGACTATAAGGTCGATGATCTTCTGTGTAATTAATCCTAGATTTTAAAGAAGTTATTCCAGCAAATCATTTTGGCCAAATTGATATTCTAGGATAAGTAATAAAAGTTTGGTGATTTTTTTTTTGTTACAGATATTATTTTGATGATTTTTCTGCAATTAGATTATAAGTTCGATGGCGCCCTGTTAATTAATCATGGAATTTAAAGATGGTTTCACAACAAAATAAGACAAGAAGACAAAACCAACATATATAGGCAACAAGTTTGGGCCAAAAGCCCAATTCTTCAAGAAAATTCTCATAATGCTTACATATATACACAAGCACAAGGATAATAATCTTTTCTAATACACCCTTAGAAGGGTTTGATTTCATTCTAATACACTTATTAGCAATACCTAATCATCACCTTTGCTCTCATAAGAAAAAAAGTATATAGAGGCAAAAGGATATGGAGAAGCTTTGAACTTAAAATAGGCAAAACTCATCTAACATGGCCATATGGGCTCATTGAAGCTGTTGTTGGACTGGTCTACATCCAAATCCATATGGAAATATCCTTTGGGCTGGTGAGAGCCCATTATGTGGGAAGANAGGCCACATGGGCTCATTGAAGCCGTTGTTGGACTGGTCTACATCCAAATCCATATGGAAATATCCTTTGGGCTGGTGAGAGCCCATTATGTGGGAAGAGGGAGACCCACTGTTTATTGGGCTATTAGTAATGCCTGCAGATTGTCTTAGCCTCAAATGGACTACCTCAGCTTGGGCCATAGCTAGTTGGGTCCGAAGCATATCAATCTGTTGTTGAAGAGACGAAATGGCTCCAACACATCCATACACTGGATCTCTAACTCTAGCATTTGCTTCATATACCATGCTACTCACTGCATCTCCTCTCTTGTGCTCTGGCAATTCCTGCATTTGACTTGACGTTAATTAACTCAATCCGAATTTCACTAGAAATGTGGGCTAAGTGCAGCAATAGTCACTTTCAAGCCTGCTATTTAAAATATTTCTACAATTTACAATGTATTTAAAGATTAGCTAATTCATCCAAACTTCAGGACTAAGTATCCTGAATTTGGAAATTCGGGACTCAGTGTCCTGGATTTTTGAGATACTAATTTAAAATTCAGGACATAAGATTCGAACTTCTGGACACAATTTTCGAACTTTAGGACACGATGTCCGGAACTTTGAACTTTGACGTTTAAACTCTAGGACGCGGTGTCCTGAAGTTTGAGCGAAATTGGTTAGTCTTTAAATATATTATAAATTGTATATATATTTGAAACAACATGCTTAAAAGTGGTTACTCGGTATCATTTCTGCAATGTAGACCATAAAATTACATAACACAATCACTAACTAGATATCTATGCAGAACAAAACAATGCAGGGATTTTCTACAATGACACTGTTATAAACCGATTGAAAGGGGTGTAATATAGTTTGTCATTGCGGAAACAAATCATGTATAGAGAGTTTTATGGGCCAAAGCCCATCTTGTAGTGGGATCTTTACACAAACAACCCACCAGATTAACGATTTACTTTTCCTAACCGAGATACATAGATTATACTGTATATNGTAGAATACTTATGGGCTTACTAATAAGACTGCCAGGCTAATTAATGGGCCTGGGCTGTACCTTTAGAACCTAAGAGGGAATTGACTTGCAAGAGTATGTCATATTGACATCAATTTTGTGTCATAAATTTTCTGAGAATAATAACTAATGGACGTGTTAGTCAAAAAGGATGAAAAGAAAAAAGAAAAAGAGAAGTCGTCACCCTTTTCTGAGGTCAAACCAGAGGAGTCTTTAATTATGTCTGAGAGGAGATTTTCTAATATCTAAAAATTTCTTTTTGTGGTCGAAAGAAGCAGGAAATGTGTTGTTTTCTTGAGGTTAGTTGATTATTTTGGCCTTTAATAGTTAAAATAGGAGACAATTTAACTACCCAAGAAATTTTATGAGAAATGCCGACAGGAAAGCTTCTCGTGTCCACCTGGAGAATTCAGTTTTATAAGTATACATATTATATTATGATAGTGACCATATTCACATAATCAATGAATAAGATGACTTTCAAATCCTTCATAACAAATAAATAAATAAGTAGATAAATTGCAAGAAAACAAAAACAGTTCTACATGGAGTTCATCTAATCAATAGTCAAAATTTCTTGGATTATGTGTGGGACCATAAACATAGACCTACTAAAACACTTTTCAATGTTGACACATATGAAATGGTTTTCAACTAACAAACATAGCACTTTGTTTCCCATCGAACGACCCCACAACTTACTTTGCTAAATATGCAAACTTATCTAAGATCAAAGTGAAATTTTAAGCACTTAAGCTAGGAGGGTGTCTTGTTATTT